ATATGTCTTTCAACATAGTATTAAGATCTATAAGATGCTATGGCATCAAATTTGTTAAATTGCTTGTTAATTTAACTTAGTGATATTACTGCGGTAGTGAATATGTATGCGTCAATGCTGAAAATCTATCAGCGTCGCGGGGGGGACTACATACGCAGTATATAAAATTTCACACAATTATTATAAGCACGTTGATCTAGCTTCGACCGTTATAGGCTTCTTCTTCTAGTTTATTATTGTTTATCAATTACGGTCATAGAAATATTTACTATATATTAACCTATATTAACATTTTTCGCCAATAACCAGTAATATTTCAATGAAACATAGAAATATATTTTGAAGAATAAATAACAACTCACCGAAAATTTGATTTAAATTCGTCATCGTCATATAAACTAATAACCTCCATGTAACTTTGTATTCTGGGCCTTTTGCCACGAATTATGGGAATTGCGTTCACGAATAATTCATCGTCATCCGTATCCGAAGAATCGCTATCAGACGAATCAACAATTTCGTTGATTATAGTAATCAGTGCACCATTGTGTAACGCCATTCTGTTTCGTAAAAGTAGAATGCCTTGCCTGTAGCAATGATAATAATTTATGTACAAATAAAAACTTATTTAATGAAAATTAAACAGTTGGCCGTTGAACAATATTAAATTAATAGCATCGAGCAACGAAATCGTTGTCTAACCTCTTTTTATCGCCGGGGTCAATTATTTTAAGACATGTGTACCGAAATATTACAGAGTTGCAAGTAAATCATTGCTACATGGAATATATATTACTTACTCACCTATTCGATGAAGATCATTGATGACGAAAATACGAAATCAAACTGTAATATGAAACGAAAACTGTAGAAAGCGAAGGGCATAGAAACGCAACAAACCTGACGTCACTTTTTACTGGCGAGAATGAGAACACTTCCCCAGTCAGTAAGATGACATCACCCTAGTAATATTATTTTACTGACTGGCAAAGGGACGTATGGGAAGACAACCTTAGAGTCAGTGCACCGAGGCCTACCTACGGTCCGTCGACCGTTTGCCCGTCTGTGCATCTCCGAGGTCGTCGAAGTCCACCTGGACCATCTACGGCCGATCGTGCGCCTCCGAGACCCACCGAGGCTCTTTGAAACCTGGCTCCAGGTTTGACTGGCAGCTCCGCCATAGTGGACCGTGTCCAGGGGGACCGATTGCCGCCACCTTTCTTTCGGGTTACAAGTAAGACACATTTTTATTTCCCTTCCTCTCCCCTTCACTTTCCCTAAGAAAAAAAAGAGAACTTACGTAACAAATTACTTGGACGTAAACTCAAATTTTAATTTTTTTTATTTTATTTCTCCACACCTAATCCCCTCTTCGCATTTTAGTGCGCACTCGGGGTGCCACTAGAGAGGCCCGCCCAAGAGGCCCTTACTCGAAGAAACGCCGGAGTTCGCGGCTCTGTCAATCGCCTCTCCCCGTAGATATTACGCTGACGCCTCCACCCGTAGATATTCCGCCGACGCCTCTACCCGTAGATATTACGCCGACGCCTCTACCCGTAGATATTACGCCGACGCCTCTACCCGTAGATATTACGCCGACGCCTCTACCCGTAGATATTACGCCGACGCCTCTACCCGTAGATATTACGCCGACGCCTCTACCCGTAGATATTACGCTGACGCCTCTTCCCGTAGACGTTACATCGCGTCCTACGGTTATTGTCACGCCTCCCTCCGCTCAGCCCGCCACGGACACACGCACACCCACATCTACACACTTACAATATCCGGAACCCTCCTACTCCCCCGTTGATTCCTCAGAGTTTCCCCTTGACCTCACCAAATTCCCGCTTTTAACTCCCCTTGATTCCCCCTCGATTTCCCCTCTCCCAATGCACGAGAGATTTCCTCCCCTTTCTCTGGACGAGATTCCCACTCATCCTCCACTCATAGAACCCCATTCACCTTCCCCCGTCGCCACCTCCTTCGACGAACAGACCTTTCTTCCTCCCGTCACCACCTCTTCTTTCCCAGAACAAACTCTTCTTCCTCCCGTTACCACCTTCTCTTTTCCCGAACAAACTCTTCCTCCTCCCGTTACCACCTCCTCTTTCCCCGAACAAACTCTTCCTCCTCCCGTCACCACCTCCTCTTTCCTCGAACAAACTTTTCCTCCTCCCGTCACCACCTCCTCTTTCCCCGAACAAACTCTTCCTCCTCCCGTCACCACCTCCTTCCCCCCACAGACTTATCTTCCTCCCTTCACCACCACCTTCACCCCACAGACTTTTCCTCCTCCCGTCACCACCTCCTTCCCCCCACAGACTTCTCTTCCTCCCTTCACCACCTCCTTCCCCCCACAGACTTCTCTTCCTCCCCCCGTCACCACCTCCTTCCCTGGGCAGATGTTTCCTCCCCTTCCTGATTTTTCTTCCACCTCCTTCCATCCCGCAGACCTCTTCCCGGAACATGAAATCATCATGTACCTCCCTGGGATCTCCTTCCCCTTTTTCGTTCGCATGAACGCCGTCCGACCTGCACTCCCCTGTAATTGTCACAGGAACTCCTCTTAACTCTTCTCCTATCCCTCTCGTCCCACACACACACACACACACACACACACACACGATATTTTGTAATTTTGTTAACCAACACATTGACTCTATAGATATTTGTAATTTTATTAACCAACACATTGACTCTATTTGACCAACTTATATTATATAGTTTTTTTTATATGGATTATTTAATTGTGAAAGTCATAAGACTTGACATATTTTATTAATATTTTAAGTTTGAAATTTAATTAATTTGTAATTCTTATCTTTATTAGTAACTTTATTAATTTGAAATTTTTTGTATTCATTATAATGCTCATTTATATTGTTATAGTTATTAATAAATGTGTGAGAAATTTAATTTTAAAATGTAAAACCCGCTTCAAGTTCATTTATTAAACCCTTTCTCGTATTCCTCCTTCAATTCCCGTTAGATTGTACAGGTCCACTCCCAGGTCATAGAGATTAAGTTCCCTGACCTAAATTAAAGGACCAACGATCGCGACCGCTCACGGAAAAAGGCGTCATAGTGTCTCTTTCGAGACACTGACCCATTTTCCGGAGATTTAAAGGTACGATCGACTCGCAGAACACTCCACGGTGTGTACCTGCGAGAGCCCGAATTCGGTGACGCTCCTCCGTTGCCCCTTCCGAAGTTTGGGGATCGAGCGTGACCGAATCTCGGGCAGAGTTCGTTGCGCTCTTCCGCAGCTTCTCCCGGAATCGGAGCTTGGACGTAACACTAGCCTTCAACCAAAAACTGCTCACGAAATATTGCTCTGTATTTTCAGAATTTTTACTGGACAGAAATTCGACAGCATTTACTTACCATTTTTTTTTGCCTAGTTTCCGACCAAAAGCTGTTCATGAAATACCTGTCCAGCATTTTCAGAATTTTTAGTGGACAAAAACTGCCTAATATTTAAATACTATTTTTTCATGCATAGTTTATGGTCAGTAATTGACCATCAAACAATAGTCAGTATTTTCTGGACAATTTTTGAATAATTACTGTCTAATTAATTCTAGCTAAAAAAAAATATCCAGTTCCTGATCAATTTTTCCCTGAAATTTTTCTACTCGGGTTGTTGTAATTTGTGGATGCGGCCGACGGAATGTGAATTCAGGACCATTACTTCATACTAGTTATGAAATAAATCGAAGAATAGTTTTTGTGATGCGTATATTAGGCATTGGCATGCAAGGATTAAATTTATTTTGCAATTTAATGGATTTATGCGAAGGTTTCAAAGAATCTTCATACAATAATGTCGTACAACACATTTACAACGCTTCTAAATCTGTGTTTGAATCCTGCACTAAAAAAGCAGTCGAAGAAGAAAAGAAAGAAAATGAAAAGCGCGGACTGGAAATTTTGAATTTCAAAATATCTGGAGATGGATCCTGGAAAAAAAGGGGTTCAAATCTTTGTACGGTGTAACGACGCTAATTGCTTATTATACGGGCAAAGTCATAGATTTAGTTGTTAAAAGTAGTTCTTGTCAAGGCTGTACGTAATGGATAAATAAACGAAATACGGAACAATATTGAGAATGGTATGAAGAACATGAACCAGAATGCAAGATCAATCACGAAGGCTCAGCGGGGAAAATGGAGGTCGATTCCATAAAGGAAATGTTTTTAGCCTCCGAGGAAAAATATGGCGTCAAATATTTAAATTATATAGGAGATGGTGATTCCAAAACGTTTAATGCTATTCTTAAAGAAAACCCTTATGGAGATGATTATCCAGTCACAAAAAATGAATGTATCGGTCACGTCGCAAAAAGAATGGGCACCCGGCTTCGAAACGTGAAAAAAGATCATAAACTTGGCGGACGAGGTAAATTGACTGAAGGTTTGATAAAAAAAATCAGTCTCTATTACGGCCTTGCAATTCGAAGAAATATTAACAGCATTGAAGACATAAAAAATGCCATTTTAGCAACGTATTATCACATGATTTCAACGGACGAAAACCCAAGACACGAGTACTGTGTTGTACCCGTGGCGAGGTACAGTCGAAGTCCCGGAGGTAGACAGGGATAACACTCAGCACACTTTATATTTTAACACCTTTTATTAATACCAATGATTTACAATTATGTGACTCGAAGTCACTGGCGTAGCCTGTAGCTTGGCTATCGGTTTCGCTATTATCTTATTATAAGTTGGTTAACAGGTTGATATTATGACGTGACACTATGTTAACGTACTCGCGCACTGATACTCGACTTCTGCCTCTGGCTTCAGTCGGGTGGTATTTATTTACATGCTTCTGCTGAGCTAGTCAGCTGATTTGGAATGCGGTCGGTGACTGACCGATCGCATGTGGCAATTCCTTTTTGAAGTTGCTATGCTTAATTCTGCTTAAACTTACTAAAAGATATTTGGAAATTGTTCTACTTAAACGGAATTTCTACTTATTATTGCTTGAACAGCTAAGTTCGGAAATCGTTCCGCTTTGCTAATGCTTAAACTGCTAGATTGCGTTTTTGGTAATTGGAACCGCGTTGCAATCGCGATGTCGTACGCAATCGCTTTAATATATGTAAATGTTTTATTTTATATTTTAATATTTTATTTTAATATTTGTTGTGGGTATAACAACTGTCCTCTTGGCGTTGACAGTTGGTGTAAATGGAACAAAGCAGAAGCAAGTGGAATTGATCCATCAAGTTTAAAGCACCCTGCACCAATGCACAAAGATGTTCAAGAGCATGTATTCCCGATATTTGAAATTTATCCAACGACGATTTGCTGCAGAGATGTTTAGGTGTCCACACACAGAACGCTAACGAAAGTTTCAATGCCACAATTTGGCATATCGCCCCTAAACATCTTAATTCCGGCCTTAAAATCACGGAAATTGCAGCATATTTGGCAGAAGGAATTTTCACTGAGGGATTTTCGTCAATTCTACGGGTCATGCAACGATTAGAATTGACAATTGGCACGCATTGTATGTCCTTTGCCAACAAGCGCGACGAGATCCGCGTTTCGCAAGAAGAGCATCGCAGCCATTCAGCCTCAAAAGAAGCTCGAAAAGCACGAATAGACCGATTACTGGCCCAAAATGCGTTATTCGAGGAAGCCGAAGGACTTTTGTACGGTGCTGGAATCGCTGATCTGTAAGTAATAGTTATTATTGGGTTTTCTGTTGCTCAAACTTAAAACGCGACTTTCTCGAAGCTACATTTTCACAATTGGCGAGCACGATATCTCAAAAACTATTCAACCGATTGATCTGAATTTTTTTGGGAACAATTATAACATTATTACCTTTGATGTGAACCTAATTGTAAGGGGAAAAAAAACATTTTACATATTTTTTGGACAGTTTTTTCAGAATTTACTATATGAAAAAATTGACTTTTTTTTTAAAACAAGTTTAAAGATATCTTAATGCGCTTCTTTTTAGCTAAATTTAGGTTCACATAGGAGCAATATATCTATTAATTGTATTTTGTATTGATTTTGTTTCAGATTTCACATTTTTAAGACGCTAGAGAGCTCGCCAATGAAAATCGAGTTGAACTTCAACAGGCTGCACATCCGCCATTTTGAAAAATTTTAATTAAAAAAAAATTTTTTTTTGTACTTTAATACTTATATAAAATGTCTACATTAATAAAATAAATGTTTTTCACGTGTACATTACTTTAAAAAATTCTTGAAAATGATCGATTTTTCGCACGCCTAATTGTATATGCTCCCTTAATTCGAATGGCGTGTAGCCTGTTGCTATGTGTGGCGTCGTATTAAATGTAAAAATTGCGTAGGGTATCCATTCGTCCCAGTCTGTTCACTATTGATGTAATGACGCAAATGTCCTATTAATGTTCTATGCGTTCTTTCAAGAGCTCCGTTGCTCTCCGGATGATAGGCGGTTGTTTGTATTTTCTCGATTTTCAATAATCGGCACACGTTTTTGAACATCTCGCTTACGAAGTTTGTTCCTTGATCGGTTAAAATTTTTTCTGGAATTCCGTGTTCTAGCACGATTTTCGTAATAAATTCTTTTGCGACAGTCGCGGCTTCTTGGTTTGCAATAGGTATCGCTTTACTAAATTTCATTAAACAATCTTGAAAAGTTAACATATATTTATTTCCATTGTTCGTTATAGTTAATGACCCTACTATATCTAAGGCGCACTTCTCGAATGGTTTATCAGGTGTTTCCGTTATCACTGAAGGTGCTTTTAATTTTTTTCTTAATTTATATTTTTTACAATATTCGCATTTTTCGATATATTTTTCCACGTCTTTTGTTATTCCTGTCACGTGTGATACATTCTAATTCTATTTAAAGTGCGTTCGGTTCCTTGATGTCCTCCAATAGGTGCATCGTTGTATTCATAAAGTATTTTTTGTTTTTCTTCTTCGCTATATATCTTCATGAGAGTATCCTCTTCTTTTTCTTTTAAATTGCAGATATGTGCAGCTACATTTCTACTTAGCGCGTCAGCGTTTGTATTATTTTTCCCTGCTTTGTGGATTATTTCGTAAACATATTCTTCTAATTTTAATCTCCAACGGATCAGTCGTGATCCCGGATCGCTTACATTAAATAACCATATTAATGGTTTATGGTCTGTAATTATTTTAAATTTGGTTCCATATACATAAGTATGGTCTGAAATGTTTTACAGTCCAAACTATCGCTAGTAGTTCTTTCTCTGTTGTATTATAATTCTGTTCCGCTCGCGATAATACGCGGCTAGCATACGCGATCGGACGATCCTGACTTACCGTACCTTGAGACAGCACGGCTCCAATGGCGTAATGTGATGCGTCCGTCGTGATAATAAATTCTTGCTCAAAATTCGGATAGCTTAGTTCTGGTGCGGTTGTTAATTTATTTTTCAACGTTTCGAACGCTGTTTGCTGTTCGATGGTCCACACGAATTTTACGTCCTTTTTTGTTAACTTAGTTAAAGGCTTAGCGATTTTAGAAAAATCTTCTATGAATTTGCGATAATATCCGGCAAGTCCGATAAATGATTGAATATCTTTTACTCGCTTCGGTACTGGAAATGTACTCACGGCTTTTAATTTGCTCGGATCTGGTAAAATTCCGTTTTCTGTTATTATGTGTCCTAAATAGACTACTTCCTTTCGCAGAAATTCGCATTTGCTTGGTTGCAATTTTAAATTATTTTTTCGTAATCTTCTAAGTACTTCTATTAATCGCTTATTATGTTCTTCTAGACTTGGTCCGTAAATTACAATATCGTCTAGGTATACTAGACATTTTAATCCCTGCATTCCCGTCAGAATATTATTCATTAGACGTTGAAAAGTTGCGGGCGCGTTCTTTAATCCGAACGGCATGCGATTGAATTCGTAGTGACCGTAAGGTGTGGAAAATGCTGTCTTTTCCTTATCGTGTTCGGCCATCGGTATTTGGTGATATCCTGAGGCGAGATCTAATGTAGTAAAATATTTCGCATTCCCTAATTGGTCTAATATATCTGTAATATTTGGAAGGGGGAACGAATCTCCTATTGTAAGATCATTTAATTTTCGAAAATCTACGACGATTCGTAATTTCGGTTTTCCTGTTTGGTCGGCCTTTTTAGGTACGACTAAAAGTGGTGCGTTCCACTGGCTATGGCTAGGCTGTATTATTTCTTGCTCTAACATGTCGCGTATTTGTTTATTCACTTCTTTTTTATGCTTTTCTGGGAGTCGGTATGGTCGTACGTTTACAGTTGCGGAGTCAACTCGCGTCGTTATCTCGTGCGATACGATACTCGTACACGTCAGTGGTTCTCTCTCTAGATAGAATACATCGCTGAATTCTTCGCATATGTTTAATAATGTTCTTTTTTCCTCTTCATTTAGAATTTAGATGAGTGATTCCTAGTAGATTCTTGATTTTTT